GCTTTTGTTTAAAAGAAAAAAAAAAGTTATAAATTCTTAAAAGTATATTCACATGTTGTAGTTACTCAAAAACAACACAGATGGTGATTTCTTGAAGTTTAATTGCAGTGTGGAAGTTGAAACCATATCAGTGACTATTGATACATTAAAACTCAAGAGTTCTGTCTTGTACTTTGAATTCTTTATCCATGCATAATTTTTCATCTTAATATGCTAGTTATAGAATATCACTTAATTGAGCTATGTAAATCTTTTAGATATTAAGATATTTTTATAAAATATTGATTACAGGGCTAGGTAGGTAACTTGGTGGTCTAAGCACTGCCTGGCAAGTACAAGGACCCAAGTTCAATCCCTGGTACCTCGTGCCATGCTGTCCCCGGGCCCTGGGTTCACCCGGCTGGCCGTAGTGGCGCATGCCTGGAATCCCAGTGCTGGGGAGGCTGAGACAGGTGGATCACTACGAGTGTGAACTGTGTAGCAAGACCCTGTACCAAATAAATAAATAAATAAAATATTTTAATTTTTTTTTTTTTTGGTACCAGGAATCAAAATTAGGACCTTGTGCTTGCCAGGCAGGCACTGTGCCACAGAGCTGTCTCCCCGGTCTGAGCTAGCTACTTTTGCCCAGCATTGCATTTGAACTACCAGTACTAGTGTCAACACAGGAAAAAACCATCAGTATTACATAAGAGTAATTTTAACCCCTAAAGAGTCTCTAAAGTCTTTTTTAGACCCCAGGAAAGAGTCCATGGTCCATCTTGAGGACTGCTATTATAGAAAAATAACAGAATCATTATGAAGAACAATTATTAGGATACTTAGCATTCTTTGTGTCAGCCTCAGGAGGATAGACACACCGTAATAATCTTATAGGTAGATTCATTTTCGGTAAATTCAGATTTTTAGCCTTTTTTATTAATTTTCTCTCCTTTCATTCTCAGGGGGGCAAAGGTCCATAATGTTTATCCCCGCAAAATCTCTAAACCGTCCAACGAGGAATTTCGTGCTACTATTTATAATTTTCTGTTCTCTAAGATCTTTGCATTCAAAGGTCTTCATATAAAAACATCTGACACCTTCCCACTTCTAGTGGTTCTAGACTATCCAAAGATTTTTATTGCCAGTGTGTAGGGTTAAGAAAGGTAGAAGTAGTTCCTGATCTTGCAGTAGAAATGTACTGGCTGCCCTGTGTCCCCTCCCGGCAGAGAACATGCCTCCTCCCCGCACTGGCTCCCATTTGCTCAGTGTCTTCGAGCCACACACCAGTGTGAGCTCCTCGTAAGAGCGCCTTCCCCGACTGCGTGGGCTGTGGCTCAGGCCCAGCCTTGTGCTTCCCCTCCCCCACTCTCCCTTCCGTTCTGGCCCCATCCAGGGAGCCTGGATGTGGAGCAGGCAAGCTTGAGGAAGGGCTTGGAACATGAGGTGCTGTTTCTGGATCATGCTCTTGCCAGTCCACCAGCTCCTGGGACAAGATCAGAAGCTTTACCTGGAGGCTGTTCAGCTGTGCACCAGGGCAGTAACAAGCCACAGACAGCCTGGCAGACATGGAGGACTAACTTACCACTTAGCATCCAGTAAGCAGCATTACAGGTGCCTGATTGAGGATTTCATGGAAAGCGCATTCAAAAAGCAAAGGACCGTGTATACTGTACACTGTTTCACTGAACTAAGAACACACAAATGAATTTAAACATGAGGATGTTTAAATTCCAACAAAATTGGGGTAGAAGCTGTTCCCTTGCCTATAATAGTCCATAGACACTTAGTTTTAAGCCTGAAAGCTGAATGTACAGTAGCAGTGAAAAACTGCCTCCTGCTGCCCAAAATTATGTAGTACCTGAATGGAGACAGAGTTCTGCAGTCACGCAGTTAGGCACAGCAGACTACTTGAAGGTTTATCTAACATAGTTTTGGAGAAAGCTGAAGTGATTGCATGTTCTATGCTTCTATTTTCTGTTTTATCACAACTCGCACAGAAAATATTTTTATTATATTCAGGAACACCGTGAGAATACTATGTAGCCTTCTGTCAAGAGGAGCAGTGGTAGCCACAGCCCATTCATCAGTTGAAAATTGGAAGGCACTTTCTTCAGCTGCAGTACTGAGTTCAATATTGGGGGGCCCCCCCCAAAATTCTTTTTTTTTTTTTTTTTTTTTTGTCTTCTTTTTCAGACAGTCTTGCTATGCAGTTCAGGCTGGCCTTGAGCTCACTTTGTAGCCCTGGCTGGTCTTGAACTTGGGAGATCCTCCTACCTCAGCCTCCTGAGTGCTGAGATTATAGGCATGCATCACCACGCCCGGCCCCAGAACTCATGTTATGGCATATAAGGATGCGGGTTGCAGCAGAAACCCTTTTAAGCCCCAGTACTGACTTGTATTTGGGGCTGCTGCTGTATACACAGTGCTTGTTACCATTATGTGATTCTTACTGCTGCTCGTGTGGGATCACCAGGAAGTGAATCTTGTGAGCAGTACCTTCCTCCGCTAAATTCAGAGGATAATAAATGTGTACTGCATTACATCCAGCGTGTCAGTGTAGAAGTCATTTGTTCTGACCCTCTGGATATTTCTTTGGCATCATGGTAGAAATCGCTGGCCTCAACTCATGAACTTGTGTACTGCAAATGCAAAGGATCCTAGCTGCAAAACTTAATCGGCATTGGACCTTAATGCCCACTTCACTTACTCCTACTCAGCCCCTTTCTCCCCTCAGAAGCATCAGTCCTCTTGTCCATTTTCATCCATTGGAGCATGCATGTGCTGCTGTCACCTAAAGCAGACTACTACTCACATTTTATCCAGAGCCATTAGTGTTTCTCATCCCTCTTCCCACTGCTTTCCATGATGAGATAGCCGCAGGTCCCCTTCTGTCATTTGCCTAGATCCTGCAGTGTTTTTAGTTTTCCTTTTGCCAGAGAATAAGACAGTTACATAGACTGCTTTGGACGAATACAAAAAATGTCTTGCAAATGACATTTAAGTATGTATTCATTTTAATCTAGTGCAAAAATATCCAGTACAACTCCAAACTGTATGAAAGTGTGTAATTACAGCGTGAGTAACATCTTGAAGCCTACAGCTATATTTGCTAACAGGAAAAAACTGCTGTTTCAACGTAATACAGAGAAATGTTTATTGTATATGATATTTACAATCATGGAATATATAGAATTACATTTTAATAGCAATCGTATACATGTCATGAAACTATACCAAATAGGTAATTTGTAAATCTCAAATAATTGTGTCTATCTTGTCACAAATTCATGGCTCCATTTTAAATTTATGAAGGATATTATTCTCATTCATGAAGTAGGAAAATAGGTAAATACAGAGGTAAATTTTACATGTGCCAGACTCTAATAAAACTTTCAGTGTGGTATAGTTGTAAAGCTATATAGTGAGAGAAACAAAAGGAACTATTTTGAGAAAGTTATTTATCAAGATAGAAGAAAATTTTTGATAACTTTTCCAACTTTCAACAGTTAATTGTTCTTCAGCCAGAGTGGTGACCCACATTTGTAATCCCAGCACTCAGGAGACTGAGACAGGAGGACTTCCATGAGTTTGAGTCCAGCCTAGGCCATGGAGTGAGTTCAAGCCGGCCTAAATTACACAGCAAGGCCATCTTTAAAAAAGGAAAAAAGTTAATTGTACTTCCAAGAAAATGAACTTTTAAAAGGATACAAAAAAAACTTAGTCAGTAAATACATGAGTGCAACTGTTAGATCCTTTGTCAGATTCTAAAACTTGAAAGATTTATGACTCATAAAAAAGAGTGACAGCTATGCATTGCTATTACCATTGATCTCCAGCACACACTGCGAGGTTATATTATAGCTATTTTTTTTTTTAAGAAATCTGGAGTATAATTCTAACATTTAGTGGCAGGTAATCTTTTTGATGGAGAAATTCAGGTGCTATTTTATTCAACTTGCCCATGGTCAAATAGTGACAGATATTTGAACTCAGGCAGGTGCTTGTGGCACTGCGCCATATACCCAGCCCTTGAATCATATTTTTTATTCAGGTTCTAAGCAGATTGTATACCCCATGTTGTTTGGAATTCTATTCAAAGCCCCGTAAAATTTAGAAAAGTAAGAAGGAAAATTTAGCTATCATTGAAGTTCTTTAAGTCTTAAGTGTAAGTTCTTTAAGTTTTTATCTTAAATATAATTAAAAATAGAATGTGATACCTTGACGTAATTTAAAATCCATTTTGAAATAGTGACATGGATTTGTGCATATCTCATTTACTCTGTAAATGCCACTGAGTGTAATGATAGAAGTTGAAGTTCATGGCTATAATATATAGCTCAGTGGTAGAATTTATACTTTGTATGCACAAGACACTGGTTTCGTCTCCAGCACACATTCAAAAACTTACATGTCATATGGGTTCCATTGCATTTGCTTCTTGCTCGTGGCTGGGCACTCCTTTTGCTATATAACTTTTTGGTAACAAGATTTATATTTATTTGGTATAGTGTCTCACTACATAGCTAACACTCATAGTGATCCTCCTGTCTTAGTCTCCCCAGTGCTGGGTTTATATGCATGCGCCACCCTGCCTGGAACTCACTCAGAGCAGAGTGTGCCCGGGTTTCCCGGGCCAGCATGGCGTGCAGTACTGGGGATCGAACCTGGTCTTTGTGCTTGCCTAAGCAGGCACTTAGTCTACTGAGCTGTCTCCCCAGCCCTAGTAACAAGATTTATAGAGAAAATGTGAATAAACTAGTAGAAGCAGTGGGGAAAAAGTGATTTAAACAAATGTTTACTCTGGGGTGTTATTTGGAAGGTCTAATAGCAAATAATAGTGTCTCTAAGCTTATTTAAATTAAAAAAAAATTTTCAAAGTATTACCCATATTCTTAGTTTGGAAACATGAAAAAAATACAGATTCTGAATTACTGCTTATGAATACTGCATTTACTTTTTCATATAACTATTCCAGTCTGAATATGTTAATAAAGAATGTCTCTGGTTTTCAATTGCAGATGTTGGGGATCAGCCAGGTGAGGTAGGTTATTCGGGCTCTCCGGCTGAAGCTCCTCCAAGCAAGTCTCCATCAATGCCATCACTAAACCAGACTTGGCCTGAACTCACTCAGAGCAGCGAGGTTAGCAAAGCTTCCTTTTCCTTTCATTGAAAATTAACTTTTTTAAGGTAAGAAGTTCCAAGCAGGGTAGTATCAACATGCACACATAGTTGAGAAAGGATAACAGTATGACTATGATAAATGTTATATTTGGTATCCACCATTTATCCCCACTAAAACCTAGTGAATAGGTGGGTAGACACTTGAAGCTAAAACCAAAGACTAATTTGGCCAAGATGTCATGTAGGGAGGTTAAGATTTTAAAATAGGTCTTTAGTGTCTAGGAAGCTGCCATGTCCACAGAGTTGCACTACTGTATCAGTCCCATGAGCAGAGTATATTGTAATACACCTGGGCTCTTCCCATCGGAAGCTGTGTACGAGAGATGTCCTGAGAAGGTATCTTCTGCAACCCAGACTACCTACAATTAGTTCTAGTCACCATAAATGGAATCGTTTCACCATTTTAAGTATGACTAAGACTGGCATAGAAAAGAGAACTTGAGACAGATGCAGCTGCTCCCCAGTTACTTTAAATTCCTTTATTATAAAAAATAAAATAAAATAACCACTCTGATTAGAATAAGAGAAGAGGACCTGAGGTCCCACACCCTCTAAGGCCCCACTAAACTTTGGTGCTTGGGGGAACTCAGTTTGGAAACTAACGCTCTAGCCTGTTGCAGCAGGTTTTTTGTGAGCAGGTTACCTTTTAGCCAGATTAAAGAATGTCCTGTTTAGTTTGAGGCACTTGGGAAACAGCTGACAGCTTGACACTACTTGTGCTGCTTTATAAGACCTAACCCTAAGAGATCTGAGGCATTGTGACATCTGATGTGCACTAACTACTGTGTGTTCTGTAGAAGGAGGGATTAGGCCTTGAAGAGTGCTAGGAAGGATTTATGGACAGGAAGCTCAGTGCTCAGACAGCTGCTGGTTTTTGCGGCATTTCATTTCTGTCATTTGTTGAAAAGTAATACCAGACTTTTTTTAAAAAAAGTTATTACATTGTTACCATATTGTAAATAAGAACAACTCTTTCTTAATTCCAAAATCTGTATTTACTCTTGAGTGAAATCACATATGATCATTAAGCACTAAAGGTGAAGTCCCTTCTTAGTTCTGATCATAATAGTTACATTTTTTCTACTTAAATATTCCTATCAAGTTTCATTTTGTAATATTTATATTTGCTAAAGGGTCATAAATTTTATAATTTTTAAGCTATACATGAAAGATAAAATGCTAATATTCATTTTAATGATCACTATTAAAATATGTACTAGTTGTGTATGGTAGTACATGTCTGTAATTCTAGTTGAGGTCTAAGGATCATAAATTCAAGCCTAGCCACTAAGGGAGATCTTGTCTCAGAATAAAAATTTTTAAAAAGGGCTGAGGATATAGCTCAGTACAAAGACTCTAGGTTCCATCTGTAGTACCACATACATACATAGAAAGTGATACAAAACATAGGTTAGATTTTAATTCACCACAAAGCACCAGTATTCTTTCATTGAGTATGTAGCACCTGTGAACATAGATGAGCACTGTAGGACTAATACTAATAGTAATTCCTTGCATGTATTGGGCACTGTTAATGTGCCATTTATATTCAAAAAGCTCTTTGCTTGTATCAGCTTTTTTTTAAGACCTCCAAATATTCCTATGGGGTTGATACTGCTGAGCGTCACGTTGCACATGGTTGCACTGAAGCACTGCAAGGTTATGTAGTTCAAGTTCACACCGCTCAAATAGACCTCCAGGAGTGTGGCTGTCATGTGTGTGCTCTAAGGTATGAGGGTGAAAGTGTCTGCCATCCAGATAGCTTCCATTGTCTTTCAAGCCAAAGTTAAATTCCATGCCACCCCAACAAGTTACACAGATAATTAGGGTTTTTAAAAAATTTCTCCTGAAGCCTAGAAACAATAATTTCTGAAAAAGAAAGTGTTATGTTAACAAATGCTTTAAAATCAGTTCTCTGAGGGGCCAGAGAGATAGTTCAGAGGCATAGGCACCTACCTGGCAAGCACAAGGACCCGAGTTCATCCTTGGCCCCACATGCTGTGCAGGCGCAATCCCAGATTCAGGCGTCCATAATGGGGCCAGAACCGGGTGTGGTGGTATATACCTGTAGTCCCAGCACTTGGGAGGATGAACCAGGAGGATCGATCTCTGTGAGTTCAAGATGAGTCTGGGGGCTACAAAAGTGAACACAAGTCCAACCCAAACTGCATAGTGAGACTGTCTCAAAAAAAAAAAAAAAATATATATATATAGATAGATAGATAGATAGATAGATATAGAAATAGATACAGATATATATACTCTCTGAAATTATATCCCTTAATATGAATTAATTAAATTAATTCTTGTGGGCTTTTATACATGAAACTCTTTGAATTCATCGGTACTTCTCTGTATGGCCTTTTGTTTTTTGTGGAACCAGGGATTGAACTCATGCCCTTGCGCTTGCCAGGGAAGCGCTTATTCCACTGAGCCATCTCCCCGGCCCCCAGTATGGCTTATTTTCATATTAAAATGAATGTTAGGAGAAGTTATTCAGTGATTGTATTAGCCATGTTTGGCTAATTTTCAGCAGTGTGCCCATTTGCTGATATCTGATTTCTGTGTCTCTTCTCAAATTGAACATCACAGTTTTAAATAGTAAGTTGAACTTTGAAGCATAAAATGGTATCCTTCCCAAATTAGATTATAAAAAGGTTTTTAATAAATAGAGTAGTTGTGTCTATGTGTAAACATTTGTGTGTATAAACTGTGTGTGTGTAGGTGTGTTACCCTCCTTGGAAGACAACTGATTGTTATATAATTGTGCTGTAAAAATTCTGTAGTGTTTTATTACTAAGATCTCCAACACAAATGGAATTAACTGTAATTAATATTGACTTACCATTCCACATATTTTAAGAGGCATGATATTTCTCTATGTACCTCTTTTAGAAACATAGTATTTCATGTACATCCTCTACATATAACACACCCTTGAATGCTTGGTTTGCCCTCGTCATGGCCGCATCCTGGTTTTCCTAGCATGGGGCGGGGTTGCCTGATTGGCAGTTGTGTCTTGTGGTCTGGCATGGCCCTGTTTGTATTGCTGAGTACAGGGGTTGACTTGCTACCAGTGGCATAAGCTCCAACATATTAATTCCAGAATTCCTTGCATTTTATCTCAATTACATTTTATTAAGTGTCTGCATATGTATGAAGTAGGTGCACGTACATAACAGACTCATCTTTCAGGGGTCGCACTGGCAAGTCTCACCGGCCTGCTTTATTTTGATCAAAGCTTTGCTTCATTCACTTCACATCAGAGCATTAACATCTGAATTTTACAAGGATTTAAAGTTACTCCTGTCAAGACAAGCCCATTCACATTTTTGCGTGGTGGCCATTTGTATCACTTACATGCCTGTGTTTTGAATTCCCATATTGTGTTTTGAGTTTTGGTTCTGTAAGGCTTTGAATCTCTTCATAGAGATTGAAATGTGATTAATAGATTTTAGTGAACTTGCTCCTCTTATGCTAAAGTATGTCCCAGCATTGTTAAGTGTAAAAATGTTGATGGGAAAATAGAAGTCACAGAATTTTGTTAGTCCTATGAAACACAGCTTGCAGTGCAACCTCTGAAATACTTTGCCTAATCTTCTCCAGGGATCTTTTACTCCATCCTTCTCATCATGCTGACTTGTCTCTCCTCTGTCTGTCCAGCAGTGGGAGACATTTAGTGAACGCTCTTCAAGCTCACAAACTCTGACCCAATTTGATTCTAACATTGCACCAGCTGATCCTGTAAGTCAATCACTTAGCTTGCTTGTTTGAAATTAATTTTATTAACCCAAATTTCCATTCATTATGGTTTAGCTGATATGCATGATTCGTGTAGTGCATAGAGGGAAATGTTAGCGGGCTTTTTGATTGTTGTGTGCTTAATGGTGGAAAAAACATTTTTTTTCCCATTCCTTATATTTTCTAGTTAACTTGGTGATAGAAAACTATGCTTTTTAAAATCTGGTATATGTGTGTACAGAAGCATTTTGTGGCAATTTGGCTAATCATGTTGTCATTTGTTAATTAAGTGTATGTTTTATTAAACATATACTGCTTATCTCAGTGTAGTGACACATGAATATTAGTTTGTGTGCTTACTCGTCATATGATACGTACTGTGTATATAAATTTTTATGCAATATCCTGAAGAAACACTTTAAGTGGTATCTACTTTTATTTAATTGATGTGTTGAATTTTATTAGGATCAAGTTTAGCAAAACAAGCTAGGCATGGTGGTGCATGCTTGTAACCCTGACACTTGGGAGGCCAAGACAGGAGAATCCTGCAAGTTTCAGGCCAGACTAGGCTACGTACCCTGTCTCCCTAATGAACCCAAAAAGGTTTCGCAGAGCAGTACAGAGCTATTGATCTAAGATTCCTCTTGTGCAAAGGATCCTCTCGTCTTCCTGTGATTTACTGTATTGCTTTGAAAGTGCTACAAAGTTCATATCTTGATTTAAAAATCTATATCCTTAGGCTTAATTTCATTTATGATCTGCAGATCCTTAAAGTAATTTGGAAACATTAAGTTTCATGAAACCATTCTTTCTCTCTCTCTCTCTCTCTCTCTCTCTCTCTCTCTCTCTCTGTCTCTCTGTCTGTCTCTCTGTCTCTGTCTCTCTCTCTGTCTCTCTCTCTCTGTCTCTCTCTGTCTCTCTCTCTCTGTCTCTCTGTGCCACTCTAGCTCACTGTCTCCTTCCTTTCACACTCTCGTCTTTACTTGTAAAGAGGAGTACATTCTCATAGCACTTTCCAAAATCATGAAACTAGAAATGGAAAAAGATTATACACAGTAGAAATCATTAAACTAGAAAGGGAAAAAGATTGTACACAGTAGAATCTTTTTAGAGCACCACAAGTAAGAAGATGTGGAGAAAATGACACAGTAAATTCTTTTTAGGTATTTCTAATTTATTAAATGTAAATTACTTTTTCAATTTACTTTTCCTAATTAAATATAAAAATGGTCTTGTCATTTAATGTGGATTCTGAAGAAGTGGCATTTAAAAGATCTTCAGTAGATTAAACTAACATGTTTTAATGTTTTATAGTTTTGAGCAACTTACTCCAAGTAGATGATTCTGTTAGTCATTGAATTCAAACCACATATGGCCAGCTTTTAAATGTTTATTTTATAGTCCATTAAGTGTTCAGAGGCCAATTAATATGTAGGTCTTTTGTGCTTATCTTTTCTAAGTTTAAGGCATTTATTTTATTTTAATCTCTGAAAACTGCAGGAAAAATAAAAATCCAATCCTTGAAATTTTTGCTGCTTATTAGAAGCCATAATTAAAACCTCTTGGGAAGTGACAGATTCAGTCAGGTTTCTTTAAACTTTGTTTTACAGTCAATTTTATTTACTTATGGTGTTTTATGAGAAGGAAGGTTTGAGTTAGCAATTAAAAAAAAACAATTTTATTCTCGCTTGAAAAACAGTAAAATCAACCATTCATAGCAATAGGACTCTGTCAGATTAAGGCAAGAATATCATATATAAAAACGTAGCTAGACATGGCATCACATACCTATAATTCTAGCTCCTTAGGCTGAGGCAGGAGGATCACAAGTTAGCAAGACCTTATCTCAGAATAAAATTTAAAGAGATCCAGGGTGTGGCTTACTGCTAAAACATTTGCCTAACATGCCTGAGCCCCTGAGTTTAATCACCAGTATGGGACTGGGAGCAAAAAGGAGTCTAGAACTCAGAGGCATAATAAATTGACTCATAACTGGCAAGTATTGAAAAATACTTAGCTTACTAGTAGCGATAGTCTTCTTAGTTCTTATGTAATATCCCAATTTGTGACTTCCAGTTCTGTTTAAAATTATATGACCCAAGACTTGACTTTGTGTGCTCTAATGTAGCAGGCTCTAGGAAAATAAAGGTTAATTGATATTGTAAGCCTGAATTTGGACTTCTAAATTTGACCTGTACAATTAACAATCTTAAACAATTACGACCTGCTATTTGAATATATCTTTTTTCTTTTATGGTTTCAAATTTAAATCTGAACTTTGTTTTCCATCCTGTCCTCTCGCTTTAAATTTTCAGTTGTGAGAATGCCCTGCTTTCTTACCTGAAGTAGTATCTGCATACAGACTGTAGTCTGAGGTCACAATCCTGGATGATTATTTGCAAGACGTATCTAAATAGGGGTTATAAATTAAATAATGCCTACTCATAAGGAAATCATATAGGAAACACATTATAGTTTGAAAATAAAAATTGTTTGCTTAGTAAAGTAAAAAATACAAAAAGCTTCAAACTGATCTTAGCCCTCAGAGACCTCCGTGACACAGCACAGTGGCCTTACATCTCACAGGAAGGCTTTGTTAATATGCTATCAGAGTTATGCTGAAATTTAAATTCTGGTGGTCTTACTCCAGCACACTGGGCATGTTGAGTTGCCTATAAATTTTAAGCCAAATCTGGTAGAAGCTGCTGCTTCTGGGGTGCATATGAACCGAATACTCTGCTGATTCTAGACTGATGAGAAGTGTAGGTGCCCTGGCCTTTGCCATTACTTGGCCTGGTCTTGAGAGCTGTAGAATTAAGGAGTTCACCATATGAAAGAGCAGCATTTCAGTCACTGAAATTGATTAAAACGTGGCTAGTTATAATTATCAGTGTACAAAATCAAACAGAGGGAGTAGACTAAGTAACTCAACTCAGCAAATGAACGTGGAAGTATTTTCTGAAAAACTTGTATTTGTATGTCAAGTCATGAAGGAAAATAGAGATTGGGAAAAGTAAACAAGAGCATTCCAGAGAAAAATACCATGATTGGGATCTGATCAGTGTGGTGATTGTATAGCGCTGACACAGAGAAGTGTTGGGGGCCGAAGCATGTAGCTGAAAGCAGATTGAGAAGATCTTAGAATGCTAGACAAAGGAGCTGAACTTTATCTCTTAGCAGGAGCTAGCACAGATTACCAAGATAAGATAAACAGAGCTGGGCATAGGGCACAGGCCTGTAAATCCAGCGTTTTGGAGGCTGAGGCAGAAGGACTGCAAAATCAAGCCCAATCTGGGCAATTTAGGGTCTTAGTGAGACCTTGCCTTAAGAGTTTTGGGAATATAGCTCAGTGTCAAGGCTCTGGGGTTAGTCCTCAGTACAGAAAGGTGGAAGGAGCCAAAGAATAGGCATTCTGAATAAACACAGTGTGAAGATTTGACTGCAAGGAGCAAAGTCAGAGAGTCCCTGACAGAGGAATGAAATGTAGTCAGGGTTGGATTGAGACAGATAGGAAAAACAGGTTGTAAGATATGTAGGAAATACAGATTGATTAGCTTAGTATAAGGCAGTATTCAGAGCTGGGAGTGGTGGCATATACCCCTAATCCCAGCACTCAGGAGTCCGAGGCAAGAGGGTCACCCAGAGTTCAGGACCAGCCTTTGAACACCCCCCCACACACACATACATATATCAGTTGCATAATCTAAATTTATCATTAATTGGAATGATGCAAATTAAATTTAATCTGATGGCTGTGTTGAAAACGTTGCCCAAGACTCTACATTCCATTGAGGAATGTTTGGGAGGAGTATATAAAACAATTACCTGCTTTTCTCGCATCATATCTTTTACAAACTCCCACTAAATAAAAGGCACAGCTGTAAAACTTTGAGAAGATACTATGTGAAGATATCTTTAAGAGTTTGGAACTGGAGATTATGTTTTTTATTTATTTTATTATTATTTTTAATGTATTTGGCACAGAACCTCACCACGCAGCTCAGACTCGTAGTGATCCTCCTGGTTTCAGTCTCCTCAGCACTGGGATTACACATGTGTGCCTTCATACCCCAACTCTGGGGCAGCTCAGTACACCCAAGGGCAGGGCTGGCATGGCATGTGGTAGGATCAAATTGGTCCCTGCGCTTGCCTAAGCAAGTGTGTTAGTCCACTAAGCTCTCTTGCTGGCCCTATGTATATATTTTAAAGGTACCATAAGTACAAACTATTAAAAAATTAGTTGTTAAT